CTTACGGTTGAGTGGCGTCTATCTCCTAGGATACAATGATCTTTACAAAATTGTTGTAGCACACCAAACAAAATTGTACGGTGAACCAAACCTAGTGTTCTATACTCTCTTAATATTATCTCTAAAACTAATATGAAGAAATAATGCAAATAAAAAAAATTTGGACAATAAAATGAGACAGTTTCAGACTGAATTTCCAGTGTAAAGACTGCTGGAATCAAGGCAGTATTTATAGGCAAAATTTACACAGCCTCGAAAGGTGCCGGTAGGCTGAACAGGTGCAAAAAGTGTAACAGATACTTTTTTTGAAATGTCAAATAGATTCACTGCAGTTTATAAAAACCGAATCTGTCCGTTTGCATCTTTTGGAACAGCTATACCACACAATTTTGAAAAAAGATCTGTTCGTTGACTAAGTCAAAGAAACTTAATCAAGTCAAAGAATCTTAAGGTACTTTATTATGTAAACTATTTCAAATATTTATATATATATATATATATATTAAATCATTGAAATAGTTTAATAAATAACTTTTTTAATTACTTTCCTAATACTCCTTATTCTTTTAGAGCATCTCCAACGGTAGTAGGCATTTTACCTATCTGAATATTACTATAAAGTATATATTTTATTTTGCCTATCAACTGTTTTATGTTTTTACTCCAACCATGCTCTTTATTTTAGCTATTTATCCAAATACTATTAATTTTATAGAATGCCACGTCAACAACAAAGATGGAGGGAAATGATCCTAATGAATGAATACATTTTGCCTAGCGTTGAAGGCTAGCTACATGTAGCTAGTGAATATGAGTTGAGGCAAAATGCCTAATCATATGCCTAGTGCATTGGAATTGAAAAAAGTGAATCACACTAGGCATTTTAACTAACAAGTATTATATGCCTAGTGCATTGGAGATGCTCAGAACCCAAAATAGAATTTAGAATTAAATTAAATTCTCACACTAATTTTTTTTATTGAAAAAATTCAAAAGAATTTTATCTAAAAAATTAATGTTAGATCTAAAAACGACGTCAACTTTCCATTCACTCATAAATGGTTTTGACGAACCGTCTTCACCGTGTGGCTTGCCACGCGGCAAGGAACACTTCACCTCTTCGGACCCATCTCAAAATACGTTTGGGGCCCACTCAAATTAGGCTCAAACAATATGCCTATATTAAACTATTTTTCCAACACATGGATCATCCAAACCCTCTTTATATGTTTGTGCTGGGCACCCCCATACCATTTGGAAATTAGTAAGGTTAATTATGTTAAGACTTTCTTAGCTAATATCACCGTAATCCAAATTAAAGATTTGGATGTGAATATATTGAAAACGCAGATGAATATATGTGTGTGCGTGCGCGCGCAATAAATATTGTAATTTAGACTTCATTGATTCCTCCTAAATTGCATTGATTTATCCTAAAGATTTCATTTCAATTGGAATTTGGTTATTCACCATGTACGAGGATCCCCGCTAAGCATCCATGGCTGAATGGTTAAAGCGCCCCCCGACAAGGTGATGAAAATAATGACAAAATTCAACCTTGATTATATTACAAGCCTGAGATGCACGACTCGAGTGCATATTTTACATGCTAGGATTTTATCATAACAAAAGTCAATTGAAATCTTACATAATGGGGTTGTAATCTGCAAACATTAAATAAGACTATGACAATATTACGAGTGTAGTAGTCAGATCTTGTTTGTGCAATAAGAAATTAAATGGCCAAGAAAAATTTAAATATAAAACTGCTATCATATAAATATTTTTTTGGTAACATATATGTTTATGCACAGCTTTCAACAAATTGGTGTCTATCGAACCATAAAAGTCTTAATAATTTTATTTACCAAAAACAAAAGGTCTTACTAATTATTGACTAGTTTACAATAGAGGGAAAATATATATATATATATATATATAGTATAAGATCAAACCTTAACGTGGTCTCATTTTTTCCCTTTCTATAGTTGATGGGATGCATATATATTCTAGTGTATTTCTCTTTTCTTTTCTTTTTTCTTCTTTTTTCCATATCTTAGGTTGTTATAGATTTACACTGATTTGATTAGATATATGTGTTGGGATCTGGGATCCCGCCCAAGACCTTATAGAAATCAAAACAAGCAGAAAAACACACCCACACACAAGGTGACACAATATTTTACGTGGTTCGGCCCAATGCCTACGTCCACGGGAGAGTAACCGGTTATCACTATACCAATGAGGAGATTACAGAAAGATTACAATAGAGGAGGAGCTCACACTCTCCTCACTCAGCCACTCTCCCGTCTCCCTCGCTCACACCGAGGGAGACGGTCTCTCCGCCTCACATCTCTCGCACTCTTTGGTTCACGGTTTTCTTCCTCACTCTCTTACTCACACTTTGGCCTCTCCTCTCACCCTCCATTTATACACATTGGAGTAGGTGGGAGTGCCTTTGGGTAGCCTCCATGCTTGACTTCGGCAGCCTCCTTCTTTGACATGGTTGGTAGCCTCCTTCCTTGACCTTTGTGTGTGTTCCCATGGAAGAGAGTCACCTCCTTTACATGGGGTGAATTCAACAATATGGATTTTAGAGTATGAGAGGCTAAAAGTGAAGTGTGATATCATTTCCCAATCTATATTTATACACATTAGAGGAAAAAGATACACAATAACAAGCTGTCCTAAGAATGGATACAAACAAGCCATCTATTATCTTATATGGTACTAACAAGACTTCCTAGTAGTGAACTGCTTTTAGTCATATACTCGTTTTTGTCACACGCATGAGACCATCAACAACGACGTATGAAAACCATAATTTTCATGAATATTTGTATATTTTGTCTTGTATGTAATGGTAAATCTTTTCTATCAAATCTCACAACTATGGTTAAAGTATGTAAAATAATGAATATGTAACCAGTATCCACTAGTTAATAAGAGAAATTAAGTTGACATTGAGCTCACAAGTATGACTGTTGTAACTGTTTATATTATGACAGAAAACTAATACGAAACATAACTAAAATGAAAAAAAAAAAAAAAAATCATTAATTGGCTGAATAAATATGTAAATAATGAGATTTTAAATTATTGCAAGCAACATATTTAATAGCTTTTTGTGATAGTGATAGGGTAAGAAGAGAACCAACATTGTTGAGAACGTTGAGATCACATATATTAATTTTTACCCTCCTTCTACTTGATGTATTTTATTTTTATCCCCTCCAAAACTTGCAAAAGAATTGGGTTGTTTGTATGATGCAACATGATTGAGGAGGATTGTCACCTCAAGGTCCAAGAGGATCAACATTTAGGGGGCATTGTCTTTGCCTTTTTGGCTATGTTTGAATGGTAAGAATCAAAGAGAAGGAATGTGAGTTTCATTTCCAAGGATCTCATTATTAGTAAAAAAAATTATTGTGTCAATATTATTCAAACATTTGGTTTAATCAGGAATTCTCTATGGGAAAATGATAAAATTTTAAATATTTTGACCCATCTACTCTTTTTTTATTTTTTTATTTTTTTTTACTCTTAAATAGTTTATAGTTCTCCAAGAATGGGAGATTACAATGGAGGAGTGAGAGGATCAAATTGCTGCTTAGTTTGAGAACGTGATACAGCTTCAGTACGTAATCTCGTGAATCACTTTCACATTCCAATTTGTTCTAAATAGTAGAATCATGGAAACTCATAATTGCATTCCCATCCACCTTAAGATTCATGCCATCGAAACTGAGCTGTAAACAGCCATTACTTTTTAATATGGCATTGGATCAATGAGATTCTTATGGTTCCAGCTTATGGAGTAGTATGGCTTCAAACATAGAACCCCTATTTTATTTGTGTGTATGTGTGACAGAGAGAGATAGAGATAGAGATTACAAACTTACAATGAATTGTAGTGGGTAGAGAGGACCAGAGCTTGCCCGTTGGCGATTACGACTACCCGGTAGTCCAACTATACGTATATATGTAAAATTAAGGTGATATATGTGTATACACACACACAAATAAGGACTTTATGGCTAAATAAACATTGAAGTGGTAAATTACAATAGTTTTGTCGAAAAAAAGAGTGGCTACAAGAAAAGGGGCAGGCATATATATAGGTTTAGAGGGAACAAATGGAACAACCGTTTGAACACTATTGTCATGTTTGATTCACAAGATTAATAATGAGGTATTAATAATCCTATCAAATTAGTGTGGTATTCACTATCCAATTGGATTAATAGGATAAATTATCCATTGGATTAATAATCCCACCCCTATCCCATTACTAATAATCCTACAAAATTGTTGGATTAATTATCTATTGGATTAATAATCCTAAACCAAAATGTTAAAACAAACATAGGATAATTAGGTCCACGGATTAATAATCACAATTTCATACTCTAATCCATCCAATCAAACATGCCCTATAGGTAAATGGTAATTTTTTGAAAGATTGAGATGGGGCAGCTGCCCCTGGGCTTATGCTGCTGGAGTAATGCTCAGATACCTCAGTTTCTTACTGCATTTATGCTGTGTTTGGTTCATAGATTTGGATAGGAATTTGGAAAGGGAAAGGGAAAAGTCACCTACATTTCACTTCACCCATCTTTCCCCTTTCCCTTTCTATATCCCTATCCAAATCCATGAACCAAACACAACTTTAGTATTTTGTTTACCACCTTATGTTGGTATGCATGGCATTACTCGTGCTGAAAACAAACAAATAAGGATAAATACACAAAAACCCCAAATACACAAAAACCCCAAACAAATTGAATTTTAGTTGTGCTTTGGTTATCCACTAATAAGTAAATGACTATTTATTGGGTGATAAAGTGTAAACACCACAAACAAGTTTGTCCTTCTCTTACCCAAGCAGCAAGTATTATATACTACCAAATGAATCGAAGTACTGTAATACATCTTTGGAAAACTGCTGCTATTATCTATGGTGTTCAAAATGCATGAGCTTCCCTTAATCAATTTTGCAGTTCTGATTTGACACCAGCTGGGTTGCAATGGATGAGATTCCTAAAATGATAAGTACTGTGGGAAACAGTCCCCACAGTAGTGGAAAAGACCAAACAGTCATTTCCTTGGGAAGAGCACTATCACAAGGTAGAATGAAGTTGGAAGTCAAGCTCTTGAAGCAGCGAGCCAACAAGCAAAACTGAAGGAAGGACTTATTACACCTCCTCTTGTCATATCCTATGAAATCAGCAACAGGTCAGGCTGACTTGTTCTTGCTCCGGGATAACTTCATCAAGCTCAATCGGATGATAAAAAGATTAGATGCTGCTGCTGCTATGGAGGAAAATGTGACTCATAATATTAATTTAGTTGAGCTAATTGAGACAGACATTCCTGCGGTACTGGAGGATGTTGACCGTTGTCTGGCCAAGTATGATTTTGACATCAACCTCTATTATGCAAGTCTTAAAATGGCTGGCATTGCTGTACAAGCAGAAAGGTATGAACTGATAAGTGGAGCAGAACGGTACAATTTTGCTATTCGCCAAATTTTACAGTGTGTTAAGGGGGAACTTCTTAAGGTGATTGGGATTTCTGGCCAAGATGCAGAGATGGTAACTAAAGACTTGGCAGATCTACCAGAGATGAGAAGCATTGAAAAGCGGTTGCGGTCACCGTAACCGTAGCAGTGGCACGGTTGCGGTTGCGGGGTGTAAAGGCCGTAACGTAACGGTTGCAGTAATCGGAACCGTGAATTTTTTATTTTTCACACAATTTGAAAAAAACTTACCGATACATATATGTTTTTTCCAAAATCATATTTATTGGGTTTTAAAATAAATTTTGATCAATTTTTGTTAATTTTTAAGTATGATCCAATATATTTCATATTTTTAAATCACTACTTGCTGAGTTTTCTACATTTTATTTTAATAATTAATGACTATATGTCAGAAATCCATATTACAAGCTGTGGCAAAATTTTCTTCAAAACTTGGCATATATAAAATATGTATTAATATATAATTATAGGTGTTATATTTTCTAGATATTTTACAAAAAATCAATTACTAATTAAAAAGAGAATAAATAAGAGCCCATATATATATATATATATATATATTAATCAAGCCAAATACATAATGATTACACTTATTATTATTATTATTATTATTATTTTTCAAACAAAGATTACATGGTTGAGTGAAGTTCTCCCTGCAAGATGAATAGGCAACATCATCTTCAACAAATCAATAACAGATTCTTCATCTTCCCTCTTCTCTCTCTCTCTCTCTCTCTCTCTGTCTATCTTTTACTTCTCCATTTTCTCTCTTCATCTTCCCTCTTCTCTCTCTATCCCTCTCCTCACCTTTTCAGTATTTTTTTCTCTCGAAAGAAGCTATTTGGAACCATTACATAACAGTGCATAATGGGTTGTTATGGCCGCCACAATTGTGAATCTCAATCACACTGCAACCGTTACGTAACGACGCATTTTGAAACCTTGAAATAAATTCACGTAAGATTTTTTTCTTTAGATTTAGATCACTTGAGTATTTGTTCTTTTTTTGCAAGCTTTTATTTATTTTTTTGGACAAGAAAGTTATTCAGAATATTATAAAGGGTGTAACGGTGTGTAACAGACCGTTACGGTACCGCTACGGCCGTTACGTAACACTGAAATGGCTGTTACACATGTGAATTTCCATCACACCGCTATAGCGGCCGTAACGGGTGGCGGTAACCACCACAACCGTTACGTAACGGCGTTACGTAACGGTTGCGGCCGCTTTTTAAAACCTTGGTTGGGAGCCTTAGGCCAAGTTTGGCATCCTCCAAAAAATCCAAAAAGTCAAAAAGTCAAAAAGTCACTATCCTATTTAAGTCGCATCATCTTATTTAAGTCACATCACCTCTCTAACACATCACTTCAAACCCAACCTAGATGCTGCTGCTGCTATGGAGGAAAATGTGACTCATAATATTAATTTAGTTGAGCTAATTGAGACAGACATTCCTGCGGTACTGGAGGATGTTGACCGTTGTCTGGCCAAGTATGATTTTGACATCAACCTCTATTATGCAAGTCTAAAAATGGCTGGCATTGCTGTACAAGCAGAAAGGTATGAACTGATAAGTGGAGCAGAACGGTACAATTTTGCTATTCGCCAAATTTTACAGTGTGTTAAGGGGGAACTTCTTAAGGTGATTGGGATTTCTGGCCAAGATGCAGAGATGGTAACTAAAGACTTGGCAGATCTACCAGAGATGAGAAGCATGTTTGCAGTAGTCATCAGCGTCTTTGTTTCACAATGTCGAAGCATTAGTGAGGTCCAAACTCACATTGCAGAACAGATACATAGACTTGTAGTAACTGAAATTTCACTCCCACTAGATGAAGCACTCAAACCATACAAATTTTTACTATTTCTGCATTGTGACGATGAAAAGACAGATCTACACAACTTGAAAATCCCTGAGCACGGATCAGTGGTGCTTACATCTCGGACCATCGGCATATATCAGATAATGCCCGTGGATCTTAATATCAAGACAGAGGATCTTCTGCTACCATGGACGTTGTTCTGGAATAATGTTAACAATATTCCTGCTTCTATTATTGAATTAATGGCCTTACATTTAATTAAAGCATGCCACAACCATTTACTTGCCATCATTCTACTCACAAGGGCCTTAAAATCTGTCACTAATGGTGGGGTCTGGAAACTGGCATTTCTAGAATATCGTCTTCCAATCTTTCCTCCGGTGGAAGGTACAAGTGAAGTCATGGTTCATGTGTTAAAATTTGTTTGGGAACGCAAGAGCATTGTTAGAAAACATTGCATAAAACATTTATGCACTTCAGTCACTAAGGTTATAGAACTCAAAATATGTTCATTAGTGTCCTGTTGGATCGAGAATGATTTGATAAAAACAAGAACAGTAGGAAAGCATGTGCTCAAAGATCTTATCAAATCCTTCTTGTTAGAGAGGGTCAACAAAGGTTATGATCAAATGCGAGAAGAAACTAGAGATGTACTCTTGAATCACTTTATTCCACATTTACATCCTCTGTATCTTAAGGATTATCAGAGGCACTAGAGGTGTTGGGAGAAAACAAAACAAAAAACCAATTCGAAATATCCGAATCTGGCACAAAAATAGCGGAAGTAGTTTATTCTCCCTCTTTGTGTGAACCTATTAGGAAGTAATTTAATAGAGCACAATATATTTTGAAAATAATTTGAAAGCGATGATCTAACAATCACACAATAAGACGACAGCAAATTTTTAACGTGGAAAACCTTCCCGATGTAGAAAGGAAAAACCACGGGACCGTAGTCCACCAAATATCTCCACTATAAACAAATAATGGGTATACAAGAGTTCTCTCTAGATAGAACTAGAGGCAAACAATCAAGAACAACTTACAAATAAGCTTCCTTGGCAACCAAAGATCAAACTACAAAGTTTAGGAAAAATCTCACCAAAAATGGTACTGTTCACGGGCCAAAAACCAGCAGTAGAAAACTCCAAATCTGATCTCCACCGTCCAGAATTTAGAGTCTTGAGTTGTGAACTCGCCTACCAAATTTCAGCTCAATCGGACGACAGATTCTTGTTGATTGGATAGCTTGATCACTGCTGGACAGAATTTCTCCTCTCCTCTCTGTTTTGGTGGCAGCTTCTACGTCTCTTTTTGTGTGCAGAGAAAGGGTTTGTAATCCTAAACTTATGGGTCAGATTTTTTCAAAAAACATAACCTCTCCATGTGGGCTTTGGAATTCACATGGGCTTACTAAATGTTTTGGGCCTTCCTCCATATAGGATGGAAACCCAACCCAACCCAACAAATCTCCCCCTTTCCGACTAGGTGGAGTGATTCTCCATCCCAGCAATTGAGCAACATGTCTCCAGCTTCTCCCTTACCAAAGCTTTTGTCAACATATCAGCACCATTATCATTAGTATGAATTTTTCCAAGTTCTAACAAGTTATGATTAAGAATTTCTCTTATCCAATGGTACCTCACGTCGATGTGCTTCGACCTCGAATGGAATGTAGAGTTCTTAGCCAAGTGAATAGCACTTTAGTTATCACAAAACAACACATATTGTTGTTGTTTGAAACCAAGCTCCGTCAAAAACTTTTTCATCCAGAGCAACTCTTTACAAGCTTCTATTGCCGCAATAAACTCTGCCTCTGTTGTAGAGAGTGCAACACATTTTTGCAACCTTGCCTGCCAAGAAACAGCTCCACCTGAGAAAGTGATCAAATAACCCGAAGTAGACTTACGGGTATCCACATCTCCTGCCATATCTGCATCAGTGTAGCCAACTAAAATTTGTTGTCCATTTCCAAAACTGAGTGTCAACCTGGAAGTGCCTCTAAGATATCTCATTATCCACTTTACTGCATTCCAATGCTCTCTTCCTGGATTTGAAAGAAATCGGCAAACCACACCAATTGAATGAGCTATATCTGGCCTTGGGCAGACCATTGCATACATTAAGCTTCCCACAGCTGAGGCATATGGAACTCTTTCCATATTTTCCTTCTCTTTATTTGTAGAAGGGCTTTGATTAGTGCTTAACTTAAAATGAGTAGCAAGAGGTGAGCTAACCACTTTAGCATTGTTCATATTGAATCTTTCAAGCACTTTTTCAATGTACTGCTCTTGTGACATGTACAATTTCTTCTCTTTTCTGTTTCAATAGATTCGAATACCAAGAATTTGCTTTGTTGGCCCCAAGTCTTTCATGGCAAAGAACTTGCTTAGTTGCTTCTTCAATTTGTCAATTCTCGAAGGATTCCTGCCAACAATCAACATGTCATCAACATAGAGCAGTAAAATAATAAAATCATCATCAGAGAATTTCTGCACAAATACACAATGGTCAGAAGTAGTTTTCATGAAGCCTTGCTCCTCCATAACTGACTCAAACTTCTTATACCACTGCCTGGGTGCCTGCTTCAGACCATAAAGACTTTTCTTTAGCTGACACACATAATCCTCTTTTCCTTTCGCCCTGAAACCCTCTGGTTGTTCCATGTAAATCTCTTCCTCCAAGTCACCATGAAGGAAGGCAGTTTTCACATCCATTTGCTCAATCTCTAAGTCTAGACTAGCGGCTAAGCCAAGAACCACACGAATAGAAGACATTTTTACAACTGGTGAGAAGATCTCATCAAAATCAATGCCTTTTCTCTGACTGAACCCTTTAACAACTAGTCTAGCTTTGTATCGTGGTTGTGAACTGAGTTCATCATGTTTCACCCTGTACACCCACTTGTTCTTTAAAGCTCTCTTGCCCTTAGGCAGTTTCACCAACTCAAAAGTGTGATTGTCATGTAATGATTGCATCTCATCTTGCATCGCATCAGCCCATTCCAGCTTATGATCATCTTCCATGGCTTCTGCATAACCCTTGGGCTCTCCCCCATCAGTCATTAACACATAGTCATCTACAGAATACCAAGTGGAAGGATGTCAATCTCTAGCTGACCTCCTGGTTGGAACATCTGGTGGTATCTCTGGTGTTACCAACTGCTCAAGAGTCTCATCACCTATCTCGACCTGTAAGGGGTCATCAGTATCACCTAGACCTTGTTGGTCATTCTGAACATCATGTTTAACCTGTGCAGGAAAATCTGTCAGAGGAACCGGATCCAAGTCAACTAAACCATCACTATGCCAGGACATTGTGTTCTCTGCTTTTTCAATATCTTGTATAGTTTGATCTTCAATAAATACAACATCTCGGCTTCTCACTAGTTTCTTGTCAACTGGATCATATAACTTGTAGCCAAACTCATCTAGGCCATAGCCTAGAAAAATGCACTGTCGGGTCTTCATATCGAGCTTAGACCTCTCATATTTGGGAATATGAACAAATGCTTTACATCCAAAGACACGCAGGTGATCATAGGAAACATCCTTGCCAATCCAAACTCTGTCTGGTACATCGAACTGAAGAGGAACACATGGTGTGAGATTAAGAACATATACAACTGTACTCAAAGCCTCACCCCAAAAGGATCTTGGCAACCGTGCCTGTGAAAGTAAGCATCTAACTCTTTCAACCAGTGTCCTGTTCATCTTTTCAGCTAAACCATTCAACTGAGGAGTCTTCGGGGGTGTCTTTTGATGTCGAATGCCCTGTTGTCTGCAATAATCATCAAAAGGACCACAATACTCTCCCCTATTATCTGTTCTGATGCACCTGAGCTTCTTCCCAGTTTGTCTCTCAACTAAGGCTTGGAACTGTTTAAAAGTCTCCAACACTTGATCTTTGCTTTTTAAAGTGTAGACCCACAACTTCCTTGAATAATCATCTATGAAGGTCACAAAGTAACGGGAGCCACTAAGTGTTCTTGTCTTCATAGGACCACAGACATCTGAATATACCAAATCAAGTATATTTGGCTTTCTTGAAGAAGGGGAACTCTTGAAGGAAACTCTATTCTGCTTTCCTGCCAAACAGTGAGTACACCTTTTCAAAAGTGCATTCTTCATTCCAGACAGAAGATTCTTTTTAGCCAATGTTGCCAGGCCTTTCTCACTCATGTGAGCAAGCCTTTTATGCCATAATTCCACTGTAGACTCATCATCCATTGCATTAATAGCTTCTTTGGAGAGCCTTGCTTGCATTACGTACAAAGTAGAATGCTTCTTGCCTCGAGCCATAACCATAGCACCCCTAGTGAGCTTCCACTGACCATTACTGAAAGTGTTGCAATACCCTTCATCATCAAGTTTACCTGCAGAAATCAAATTCATACGGATATCAGGAATATGCTTTACATCTCTAAAAACCAACCTTGTGCCATTATTCGTCTCCAAGAGCACGTCTCCAACACCAATAATTTTGGCCAAGCCATCATTACCCATCTTTACTGAACCAAAGTCACCTGGTATGTAGGATGTGAAGAAATCTTTTCGAGATGTAGCATGAATAGAGGCACCACTATCAATCACCCAGTTGGTCTCATGGCATGCTATGTTAATAACATCTTCATCATAAACAATGAGAAAGTCTTCGGAAGTAGCAGTGGCAACTTGATCATTATCCTTTCCATCATGCTCAATCCCTTTCCCCTTGTTCTCTCTCTTCAATTTTCTGCACTGTTTCTTGATGTGCCCTTTCATGCCACAATGACAACACTCAGCATTAGCAAACTTGTTGGACTTGCTTCTACCTCTATCTCTGTTCTTCGGACCTCTGCTCTTGCTTCTCCCCCTCCTTTCTGTAACCAAAATCTCTGACTGTGAAGAAGATCCCTGTGATTTCCTCCTCATCTCTTCATTTAAAATACTGCTCTTAGCCAGATCCATATTGATTACACCATCTGGAGCCGAGTTAGACAATGACATTCTAAATGTTTCCCAAGAGTTCGACAATGTACCAAGCAAGCACAACCCTTGTACCTCATCGTCGAACTTGATACCCATTCCAGCCAACTGATTAATTACTCCTTGAAAAGTGTTCAAGTGATCTGTCAATGGGGTTCCATCTTGGTATCTCAAGGTCATCAATTGCTTTATTAGAAACATTTTATTGTTTCCAGTCTTCCGAGCATACAATTGTTCAAGTTTGTTCCAGAGTATACGGGCATGTGTCTCTCCACTAATATGATTCAAAACATTATCATCCACCCATTGCCTAATGTACCCACACACTTGTCGATGTAGTAATGTCCATTTTTCATCAGATTTATTTTCTGATTTTTCAGTAGCAAACACCGGTAGATAAAATTGTTTCACATAAAGGAGGTCTTCCATTTTTCCTTTCCATGTGTGATAATTAGAACCATTCAAGGTAACCATTCTACTCAAATTTGCTTCCATTATTCAACACAAGATGCACAAAAATATGAACCAAGCTCTGATACCACTATGTTGGGAGAAAACAAAACAAAAAACCAATTCGAAATATCCGAATCCGGCACAAAAATAGCGCAAGTAGTTTATTCTCCCTCTTTGTGTGAACCTATTAGGAAGTAATTTAATAGAGCACAATATATTCTGAAAATAATCTGAAAGCGATGATCCAATAATCACACAACAAGGCGACATCAAATTTTTAACGTGGAAAGCCTTCCCGATGTGGAAAGGAAAAACTATGGGACCGTAGTCCACCAAATATCTCCACTATAAACAAATAATGGGTATACAAGAGTTCTCTCTAGATAGAACTAGAGGCAAACAATCAAGAACAACTTACAAATAAGCTTCCTTTACAACCAAAGATCAAACTACAAAGTTTAGGAAAAATCTCACCAAAAATGGTACTGTTCACAGGCCAAAAACCAGCAGTAGAAAACTCCAAATCTGATCTCCACCGTCCAGAATTTAGAGTCTTGAGTTGTGAACTCGCCTACCAATTTCAGCTCAATCGGACCACAGATTCTCGTTGATCGGATAGCTTGATCACTGCTGGACAGAATTTCTCCTCTCCTCTCTGTTTTGGTGGCAGCTTCTACGTCTCTTTTTGTGTGCAGAGAAAGGGTTTGTAATCCTAAACTTATGGGCCAGATCTTTTCAAAAAACATTACCTCTCCATGTGGGATTTGGAATTCACATGGGCTTACTAAATGTTTTGGGCCTTCCCCCACGTAGGATGGAAACCCAACCCAACAAAAGGTTGCAGAGTGGGATGCGAAGGAGATATACCTGAACAATGATCATCTGTCTGAGCTACCAGAGAAACCAAATTGCCCTTCTCTAGTAACATTGTTCTTACAAAAGAACTACAACCTTATGGAAATTCCAACTTCATTCTTTGAGTGTATGCCTATGCTTCGAGTTCTAGATTTGTCCCATATGAGCATAAAGTCTTTGCCCGCATCTATTTCCAGATTAGTTTCCCTCCAAGAATTATTTTTAAGAGGTTGTGCACTCTTAATGCTGTGTTTGGTTGGGGGATTGGGGAAGGATTTGGAAAGAGAAATGGAAAAGGTAAGTGAAATGTGAATAAAATATGTATATATTTCACATAGTTTCACCTACCTTTTCCCTTTCCCTTTCCAAATCCCTCCCCAAATCCCCCAACCAAACATACCATAAGAGAACTGCCACATGAAATTGGAACACTTTCGAAACTCCTGGTGCTTGATCTTGAAGGAACTGAGATTATGTATCTTCCTAGGGAAATTTCAAGACTTGGATTTTTGGAATGCTTGAAAGTATCCCTTTATGGATATGGAAGCAGCTACAGAGAAAGTAAGAAGATACACAAAAGGATTCCAACAGGGTTATTAGCAAGCCTCTGTGTTGAAATTAGTGAGCATTGATGTAAATCCAGATGATAATGAGTGGGTAGCTGATATAAAAGATGTTGCAAATGAGCTGCTTTTTCTAAAAAGGTTGATGACTGTAAAATTGTATTTTCCAGAAGTTGGACTACTGAAAGTATTCACGGCTGTACAAAATTTCAAATTTACTGTTGGCCATCAGAAGCAGGGCATCATATCTTACCTACCACATGAAGTTGAAGAAGAGTTGAAAAACAAGAAAATTACATAAAATATAGAAACGGCAAGTACATACCGATTGAAATCCAAAATGCACTCAAATATACTTGTGCCTTTTTCCTAGAACGACATTGGACTGTCAAGAAGCTATCTGAATTTGGAAATGAAAATATGGTTGAGCTGAAATTTTGCTTGTTGGTTGAATGCAATGAGCTTCAAACTATTATAGATGGAGGAGAATTCTGCACAGGAGGAGAATCAGGCGTTGATAAAAAGCTGGAACTGGGATCGCTAGAATACTTGGGTTTTCATTGCAAAATGAATTTCAGAAGCATCTGAGAAGGGTTGTCTATCCAAACTGAAATCCTTGGCCTTGCATACTTGTCTCAATTTGACTACTTTTTACAACAAACTTGCCTGGTAATCTAGATGAAAAGCTTGTAATTGAAGATTGCCCCAAAATCAACAGCCTAGTAATCAAAGGAAATATCACTTCTTGACCTACCTGAATTGGTTAGCATTTCAAGTTGCCTTTGCATTGCACCGAAATTAGAAAGGATTATCATCTATGCTTGCCCAATGCTTGAAAGACTTTCTCCCATGGAATTGTCCAGTAACGATCTAAAAGTGATCAAAGGAGAGATTGAACGGTGGGATTCATTGAAGTGGCATGAATTTGAGTGGAGTGGAAGACAAGATTATCTGGCTAGTATCTTTGTCGAACTAAAACGGGATGCAAGTTTGATGGATCAATTAGCAGAAAGTGGAAATTCACTACAAGGCAAGATTTGAAGCTTTTTAATATCCATGTAAGGTCTCACTATTTCACTTTGCAGATAGTAGTATTTACTTCTCTAAAAGTATTTGTTTTATTATGCTCTCTTAAGCCTACACTATAACAATTTAAAGATCCTATGTATTGCATTTTTTTTTTTTTTTTTTTTTGTTGAGATTGATTTATACCTATATCTGCTTTGTGACCAAAAATTGTGTAACTGTTCCTTAGAAATGTCATTTTATTCACCAATCCTGAAAAAAACTTAACTCTGCTCATGTTATGAGGTCTTCCCGTAAAAAGTTGTCATGCAAGGAAATAATTGCCTTGGGAAAAAAATGACGTGTCCCACATTTACTAGATGTTCTACTCAAAGTAAATCTTATAAATCTCAATCCAAGTCACCTAATCCGCTACATGATAGCTACAGTTATTGGGATTTAGTTCAAGATCTTACTCAATTCACAAATTACTTTTTGGTAATGCGTGGATTGATCGGAGCCAATCCATCACGGATCTACCAGGCACTCTTAACCAATAACTGAGTGACACATGGGGATAGTCATATTGTGTTGTGCACACCATATGTCACCCCACTGATTTGAGGGTGATGTACTATAAAATAAAGATACAACCACAAGGTTTGAATCTGTGATGAGATCACAAATCGAGAAATAAAGGGTTACTGTGCCATCTCACCAACTTCTACTGGTTAACACTATGATCTCATTTAATATATTTAATCCATGCAAAGTTAAATACACAACTAACTACTAAATAGATATAAAAATAGAACACTTATATAAATACCTAATATACATATACTTGAAATATAAAAATATTTAATGACATTAAAATGTGAAAATAATCTATAAAATCTATATAATAAGGAAGCTCAGATTTTTGAATCTGGATGAGACTTTTGTCCATTTGTCCAAATTTTGACCATTAGATTGATTTGATGGCTAAAAACATCTCACTCTCATCTCTTTCAACACACACTCTCTCAACACACACCCTCTCTCTCTCACACATTCTCCTCTCCTCTGTTCTGTTTTCAAATTTTGAACACTCTCTCTCTCTCTCTCTTCCTCCATTGGAGCCCATTCCCGTGCTTCCCTGTCGAAACCCAACTCTTGCCGTGCTTCCCTGTCTTCATCTTCTCTCTTCCTCCCTCCCTCTCTGCCGTCGACAAGGGAGTCGTCACTGCCGGAACCGGACCGAAGTCTGTCCCCGGCCAAGCCAATATGTATGTATTTGTGTGTATATTTTGGATGTATATATATGTATATGTGTATATAGAAATCAAACCCAAAATGTTTGATGTATATGTGTATATGTGTATATAGAAATCAAATACAAAATCAAACCCATTTCAAACCCATCTGTGTGTATATATATGTATATGTGCAATGGGTTTGAAATGTTTGATATGGTTAATTTGAAATGTTTGATGTTGAACATAATTTTGATTTATGAAATGGGTTTGATTATTTAATGGGTTTGATTTATGAAATGGGTTTGATGATTTATGTTGAACATGTATGTATTTGATTTCGTATTTGATTTATGTTTGAAATGGGTTTGAAATGGGTTTGATTTTGTAGGAATGAGACACGTACTGAACATGGGTTTGAAATGGGTTTGATTTTGTATTTGAAAAACATGATGCACGTACTGAACAGATGGGTTTGAAATGGGTTTGATTTTGTATTTAATTTTGTAGAAATGGGTTTGAAATGGATTTGAAAAACATGATGCAAACTTTGAAAAACATGGGTTTGAAAAGGATTAGATTTTGTTTATTTACTGTTCTGCAGATTTTGGCAGAAACCCTGTAATTGAGGGATGGGTTTTAGGATAGGAATGAGACATTGTTTGGCTCACTGATTGAGCGTTTTATTTATTTTGTTTTGTTTTACTTTTTTGAAAAGATGTGTTGAAGTGTTTTTTATTTTGTAATAGTGATTTTGTTTTTTATTATTTACGGTTCTGCAGATTATGTTTTTTAGTTGTGATAGTATGTTAATAGTGATTTTGTTTTTTATTTTATAATAGCCAATATATTTGTTTTTTATTATGTGTTGAAAAGATGGCTCACTGATTTTGTTTGTTTTACTTTTTTGTTTTTTTTTAATTTCTTAATAGTGTAATAGGGAAAAAAAAATACACAAATATAAAGGGTAACAAATGAGACTTGCATCCCTATAATTTTTTACTTACACCTCATAACAGAATCACTTATATCTCATATGTTTGTATTTTTTCTTTCTTCTTCACTGTTAAGTAATTCCTCCATTTTTTAAATATATGTACTATATGTAAATTATGATATTTATAAAATTAATCATTATAAATGTCATAATTGAATTCTTTTAATGTTGTAACTAAAAAAAAATTGAGTCATAATCAAATATTACATAAGACATACATAATCAAACTAATATTGTAATTAATATCACAGTAAATTTAATTTAATTATAACTAATACCAGAATAATTTAATTTAATTATAATTAATACCAGAATAGGTTATACGGAAACATGACAAACATCGTAATTGGTACATATGGTACATACCACAAGAGTGATGTGTATAGTAGAATTTTCCTAAAGTATTTGGTAAAGTTTAATTATTGGATAACCAACTAAGTTTAGCTTAGCTGACTACTACAACTTTCCTAAAGGCTTAATTCCTAGGGGAAGGTAATGTATTCAACTCTCTTCAGGGAAGTTGAATTAAGGAAATAAACACTTGGTACTTTGCAAAGGGCGAGGAGTCTGACTCCCATAAATACTAATATAATAACTAACAACTAACTTTTGCCGATAAAAAAAATAATTTAATTATTGGATACTCTAAGCACATTATGTAATATTATTTATGTAGTAATATAAATTAATGACATAACCAAAAACCTTGATTATTTAATGGGTTTGATTTATGAAATGGGTTTGATGATTTATGTTGAACATGTATGTATTTGTGTGTATTATATATATCATTGTGAACACACACCCTCTGTAATCTGATGGCTCTGTTTTTGAACACACACGTTCTCTCTCTCTCTCTCTCTCTCTCACACACACACACACACACACACACACACACACACACACACACACGTACCCTCTGTAATAATGATTGTAACCAACTAGGTTTAGCTTAGCCGACCACTATAACTTTCCGAAAGGCTTAATTCCTAGGGGAAGGTAATGTATTCAACTCTCTTTAGGGAAGTTGAATTAAGGAAATAAACACTTGGTACTTTGCAAAGGGCGAGGAGTCTGACTCCCATAAATACTAATTTAATAACTAACAACTAACTTTTGCCGATAAAAAAAATAATTTAATTATTGGATACTCTAAGCACATTATGTAAGATTTATGAAATGGGTTTGATGATTTATGTTGAACATGTATGTATTTGTGTGTATTATATATATCATTGTGAACACACACCCTCTCTAATCTGATGGCTCTATTTTTTAACACACAAGCTCTCTCTCTCTCTCTCTCTCTCTCTCTCTCTCTCTCTCTCACGTACTCCTCTCATCTCTTTCAAATTTTCTTTGGGAAGACACTATGTTGTGTTTTGGATCTAATATCTAGAAATCTTTTTTTTCCCCGGCTAGAGCATCACCGTCACCGTCCCCAGTTACCCCTCTCTCTCTCTCTCTCAAGCCAATATGTATGTATTTGTGTGTATAATATATATATAATTTGCTTTTTGGATGTATATATATATAGATGTATATGTGTATACATATATATAGATGTATGTAATGGGTTTGAAATGTTTGATATGGTTAATCTGATATGGTTAATTTGAAATGTTTGATGTTGAACATGATTTTGATTTATGAAATGGGTTTGATTATTTAATGGGTTTGATTTATGAAATGGGTTTGATGATTTATGTTGAACATGTATCTATTTGTGTGTATTATATATATCATTGTGAACACACACCCTCTATAATCTGATGGCTCTGTTTTTGAACACACATGCTCTCTCTCTCTCTCTCTCACACACACACACACACACGTACTCCTCTCATCTCTTTCAAATTTTCTTTGGTGATCACAGTTGGAGGTGTCCAATTGTGGTTTTTTCCACGTTAAATCACTGTGTCTCTTTGTCTTGATTGTTTGATTGTTTGATTGGGATTGTTATACTCTGCTTAAAATTGATACATAATCACAAATCAACATCTAGGGGATTTCTAGATTTTTCATCATCTCTTTCAAATTTTCTTTGGGAAGACACCATGTTGTGTTTTGGATCTAATATCTAGAAATCTTTTTTTTCTCAAAGAGTCAACTTGGAATTTTACACAAATTGTTAGTGTTATTGGGACAATTATATATGTTGTTTAATTATTGTTTTCTTTTTCTTTGATTCCACTAGGTCTTTCCTTGCTGGACTCTGTTGTTTAAAAAATTCAACTTTAGTGTTTCTTTCATTTGTCCTTTTAAATTTGTATATTAAAAAAAAAAACATTTGTTTAGTACAGTTAAGATGGTCACAATTGTTGACAAATAGGTTCTATCATTAGAGAATAGAGAGATGAGCTCTTGCCAAATTTTGGCATTATTATAATTTGGCACCAAAAAATAGCACATGAATTAGAAGTGTTGTTGCCAAATTTTGGCTTTCGCAAGAAGGGGAAGCATACCATTAGAGTTGCTCCAACATGCAATTTCCATGTCATTTGAATCTTTAAAGCTGCTTTGCCACATTCCAATATGTGTTTTTTTTATTTATTGTGGGGTATAGGTTATTTGAGAAAATGGAAGTCATTGCCGCCACTGTTGATAGTAATAAACAGAATTGACATTTTTTTTGTGGTGTTTCTTTTGATAAATGTGTATGAATGTGCACTAAATCTGAGCATGTTAATGAATAGATATCGGAATGTATTATCAAATATGTAAAACAATTATATGTATTTGTTTACATGTGGTATAATCATAATAAGTTGCAAGTCTTCCCATTTAATAACTTCTGTTGTGGACAACTTTTATGGCCTTAATTGGTTCCATATTAGTGTATCAGTTTTATGTTTTTGGGCCAAAACTTGAAAATTGAACTGCAAGTCCACATGACATTTGGTTATATATGATTAGGGACAATGCAAATATTGAGAATACAGATATCCCAAATATTGAATCAACTCTTTTATATATAGATGCGATTATGGTTACTTGATCTAAAATGGGTTTTGAAGATGGTTTTCAAGATTGTTTTGAAATGGGTTTTGAAGATGGTTTTGAAATGGGTTTTAAGATGGTTTTAATTTATAAAAAAGTAAGGATTGAATATGGTTTTCTTTTTTTAAAAATGGTTAAAGCTGATTTTAGGATAAGTTTGGAATTTTTCAAAAAGATTTGCTGAAAAAAAATAGTAAGGATTGGAGTACTCCTATCAAATTAAGTTTTTAACCAAGATTTCAATTGAATTTTATGAAAAAAGAAGAGTAAGGATTCGAACTATCATTTAGTTGTTGATAGATGGCAGATATTATTCTGAAGGGGAAGAAGACAGTTGCAGATGTTATGCCAATTGCTACAGGTCATGAGTGTGAAGAACTTTAGGCCGAACTCAAGGTATCCTATTGTTTATTCAGTTCAATTCATGTGTCTGATACGTATGTGTAATACCATATACATTTGATAGTTTGAGAGAGAATTGAATCTGAATTTAATCTGAATTGTTCTGGAGATGAATTATCCAGTTGGACCTTTTATCCCCAAGGTTTGAATTATTGGACCTTTGCTGTGTACTGTGATTTCTGCTTTACTTTGATTGTGCTTTCATTTGTATCCATTGAGTTCTGTTTTATTTATATGCATTTTGATCCCAACCTGATATGCATTTATAAAATTAATTTGAAATGTTTGATTTCTCACATGGTTTTATGTATCTGCCACATCCACTTGTGGGAAATTATTTTTAATGTTTATAAAATTATTTTTCCAACATCTATAGTCCTAGGGGTGTGGATAAACATCTACTTCTGATGTTTATACATAGAAATTATTTATGTATTTGCCACATCTACAGTGGCAGATAAACATCTATTGTGGAAACATCATCCAATGGGTTTGATTCTTTAATGGGAAATGGGTGTTGATTTTCTATGGTTTTGAAAAGCTTTTGATTGATAAAATCATTGGAACGAAGACTTAAGTGGGTCTTTTTGAGTAGATAATTCTAATTTTACATAACGAAACAGAGGGTGTTTTTTTTTTTTAAAAAAAAATGGAAATTGGAAGAAGAAAAGAAACATACATTTTTTGTGGTGGATGGGTTTATTTTTTGTGGGTTGAGAAAAGAATGGGTTATTTTTTGTATTAGTTTTTGATTTTTTAGCTAATGTTTCAAATTTAACCAATATAGATAGGAGTTAAGTTAATCTTTTTATTTTTTTATTTTTATATATGATTATGGATGTATATATATATATCTATACATATGATTCCAATATGGATGTATATATATCTATATATATGATGCCAAACCCCCTGTATATATGTGATTATATATATGGATGTATATATATATATCTATATATATGATTCCAAACCTCAAACCCCCTATTTATGTATGATTCCAGTATGTATATATAATATTGAGAAGCCATGTCTAAGAAAGCCATGTCTAACAAAACTTGTGCCAATTAATTAACAAACTGAAGTGGGTTTTTGCTTTCTAGGCAACCAAACAAAGGGCTTTTTATTTTTTAATAAAAAAAAATGAAAAATTGGAAGAAGAAAATTGGAAACACAACTCCTTTTGGTGGCGGAAAATGATTGTTGGGTTATTAGTTTGTCATATGTGTGATTTTTTTTTCCAGTGTGATTTTTTTATTAATTCCTTGAATGAGATATTTTACCATATGAATTAACTGTGGATTTCAAAATGATTGATGATTTTTTATTAGTTTGTCATATGAATTAACTTTATAAATTTTGCAGTTCCATTTAAATCTCTTTTTGTTCAATTAAATTCAACAAAGCTTAAGCCATCGATAGGTTTGATTCCATTTAAGTGTCTATTGATTGCTTCATTTGGTTTCACTTGGTGAATTAAAATAACTTTTGTATTTACATAAGTTATGTATTCCAAAACCTTTACTGGATTAATATGTATTTACTGAAGTCAACTTTTGTATTACAGGTTTTGGCAATATTAAGCTGGAACGACCTCTAACATTATGGATAATGTAAGTTGTCTTTTTTAAAAAAACTGGTACATAGATTTTAAAAAAACTTTTGTATTATAGGTTCTGATTATATAAAAAAAAAATTCTCATTTTTTACAACTAGATGGAGACTTATAACGAACTGTAATATTCGTTCCCTTTACTCATCGTCTTATAAAATTTCATTTTGTGTACATATCAGCTACTTATTTGTTTTTGTATGTATAGGTTCAGTTTCTTCAACAAAGAAATGTCGGTGTAGTGATTCGTGATGAGCATGATTTCAATGTCGTTCGTATTTTTAATGTCAGCCCAAAAATCATTTTCGTATCATTTTTTTTTATTTTTTTTTATTTCTTATACTTTGGTTATTTCTTAGACTTTGGTTATTTTTTAAAGGCAATGCAAAAGGAAAATGCAAAGGCAATGTCGAAAGGAAAAGAAAAGGTGTCTTATGCTTCCAAGGGAAGGGAAAGGAAAATGCATGTCCAACGGTATAGTTTTTAATGGTTTTTGTAAAGTGTTTTTTTTTTTTTTTAATTGTTAGTTTTTGTATGTTTGTATTTTAAGCCATAATTGTAGAGTGTTTTTGAAAATGCATGCCCAATTATTTATTTTAAACCATAATTGTATTTTTATCTTTTAAACTGTGCACTTTTTTAAGTGTCTCCTGTATATATGTGTAAATCTGTACCACTTTTCAATGTAAGTGGGCGAAAATTTTGAGATAAGAGACAAAGAGAGGAGAGAGAAAATGGGCAAATTTTTTTTTTCCAGCTATGTGAATGGGGATACTTTATGAAGTTCATAAGTTGGCCGAACATTTGTTTGTTTGTATAACAAAACCATACAATTTATTATATAGATTATAAATGACAATTTTGAGTTATGTCATTTTTTTTTTAGTTATGACCAATTTTCTTCTTTAGTAATGACCTTATTTTAGTTATGCCTCGCATGTTGTTTGATTTTGATTTTTTTTATTTTTATATATAGTTATAACTCAAAAAGTATGAAATTATGCTATTTTTTCTTTAGTTATAATGCGCATACGGCACACACCATTTATAGTGCTTCCCTTGTGAGAGGTATCATTTTGACAACTTATTTACATCTATAAATATAGAGAAGTGCTATTCAAATTTTTAAAAAATAATAATAATAAATTTATTGGGTAAATTATGCAAATGGCCCCTATACTTTACACGATGTGTCAATTTATTTGTTTTAATTTGCTCGATTTTGCCCTTTAATTTAACAGATTGTGTCATTTTAGTCCAATAAATAACGGTTGTCAAGTTTGGTGGACGGAAAGTCTACACAATATGTCAATTTGGTCCCTGTAGTTTACACAATGTGTCAATTTAGTCCATGTTATTTTAATTTGCTCGATTTTGATAGGAACTAAATTAGCACATTGTGTAAACTACAGGAACTAAATTGACACATAGTTTGACTTTCTATCTACTAAACCTAACAACCATTATATATTGGACTAAAATGACACAATCTGTTAAATTTAGGGCCACTGATTGCAAGGGCAAGCGAAAGGAAAATGCATGTTTAACGGTATGGTTGTTATTGATTTTGTAGAGTTTTTTTAGTTTTTATTTTTATATCTTCATATATTGTATTTTATTTAGCCATAATTGTATTTTATTTTTGAAACTATGCACATTTTTTGGTGTCTCCTATATATTCTTAGGAAGAAAGAAATATATAGGGGATACTTTATGAAGGAATATATAGTGAGAAAGGAATATATGTGTCTCCTGTAAGTGCATGGGCCCTACAAGAAAATGGGGATACTTTATGAAGCTCATCTGCTGATCGAACATTTGTTCATTACTGTTATAAAACCACACAATTTGCTGGTCGAACGTTTATTATTCTCATAAGTTGGTCGAATATTTGTTCACTAGTGTAACAAAACCACACAATTTATTATTATTATTATTATTATAAAACTATGGGTAGTCATGGGCAAGAGTATAATACATTTTCTCTAAATTCTTGGTATTTTCTTTAGACAATGGAAAATGGAACTTGATAATATTTGCATTTTAAGCATTCAATGATTTAATATTCATATTTAGGGACCCAATGGTTATGTTATATCAAGAGCTGTATTAGCTCAACGTGCACGACGAAAACGTGAAAGAAATGAAAATGCATGCTCTGCTCATCAATCGAGACACTACTTGCGACAAGAACGAGAGAGATTAGGAGCATATGTTAAAGACTTTCCTTCATTAACACCGAGTTGTCGCAGTCATGCTTGCCTAGAACAGGGTACAAAGACACTTACGGATACTTCGTTGGCACAAAAACGAACAATGGTTACACATGCATCCACATGTTGGTTCTCTATGGAAAGTACATCTTTAGCTCGGAATTGGTAAAACATGTTTAATTCTTTAAATAATACTCTTACTTTTACATGTGTATAAATTTTAATTTATGCACAACAAATATTTGTAGGCCTAATTCTACAGTCACATTTCTTCAAGAGGATCTATGTACAAATGATGAATTAGAAGATATGACTTTAAGTACTGCGATTAATACTCAATCGCACATGAATTCATGTCGTCATTCTCTCGGCAAGATGGATGTGTTATGTCCTTACTGTTCAGCCTTATATTGGATGGACGAAAAATTAGCACAATCATCTCGAAAGCGTCCCCTATTTGGAACTTGCTGTTCAAAAGGAAAGACTAGGCTACCTCTACTTATGACACCCCCTCCACCGCTTCAAGCATTATATGATGGGGATGATGATCAAACAAGATCGTTTTGACGTTATACTCGAGTATACAATGCAGCCAATGCTTTTACAAGTCTTGGTGCTACATTGGATCCAAGAGTACTAAGGGGAAGCGGCCCTAAACCATTTATTATCCATGGGGAATTGCGACATCGAACAGGATCACTTCTACCACAGCCAGGTCAGGATGCAACTTATGCTCAGTTGTATATTTATGATCTTGATTCAGCTTTAGAAGTTTGAAATCGTAGAAATCCTCACTTACAAATGGATGTTCTCAAAACTATTCAAGATAGTTTGTTGCAAGTTAATGCATTTGTAGACAAATTTCGCCAAGCTCATGCAATTTTGAATCAATTAGCCTTCGCTGGACAAAATCTACCTGCTCATCTTCACTACAGTTCAGCAACAGACCGACGACGGTATAACCTACCAACTGCTGATGAGATTGCAATTGTAATACTAGGTGATGGAACTGAGGTTACTGGAATGAGAGATGTTGTTTTACATCTACAGGGAAATAATGAACTGATGCAAATTAATGAATGTCACCCAGCGTATTTGCCATTGCATTATGTTTTATTATTCCCGTATGGTGAGCTCGGATGGGAACCTGAGTTGAAATTGTGGGACGTTAAACATGATCGGCCTTCAACTGATCGACTTAAATGGATTTTTATAGTTATCGTTTGTTTGAGCGACCTACAGAGTATTCAACAATTTTGAGAGGTGGAAAACTATTCCAAGAGTTTTTGGTAGATGATTGGGCTGCAACTGAGCAAAATCGGTTGACGTACTACAAGCTTAATCAAAAAAAAATTCTAGCTGAACTTTACCAAGATTTAAGCGATATTGATCCAGATGACTTGCAACCTAATCAAATTGGTCAAAGGTTTATTTTGCCATCTTCATTTACTGGTAGTCCTAGACATATGTTTGAAATCTTTCAAGATTCAATAGTTATCACGCGATACAACCAGCACCCAGATATTTTTCTCACCATGACTGCAAATCCCAATTGGCCAGAAATTACTTCAGCATTATTACCACACCAAAAAGCTATTGATCGTCCGGATTTGATTGCCCGTGTTTTTGAGTTAAAAAGAAAGTGTTTGATGAAGGAGATAGAGACAAACAAAGTGTTCGGTAATAAAGTTGCGCATGTTTTTACAATTGAATTCCAAAAACGAGGCCTACCACATATGCATGCGCTTCTCTTTCTTAAAGGTCCAGACAAAATTCGAACATGTGCTCAAGTAGACAAATTAGTTTGTGCAGAATTTCCAGATCCAAAAGATGATCCTACACTTTTTGAAACTGTCAAGTGTTGCATGGTACATGGACCATGTGGTGCTCGAAATCCCCAAGCACCATGTATGGAAAATGGTAGATGTACTAAGAAATACTCTCGAGCCTTTGTAGAATCAACAACTATGGACCAAGATGGATATCCAATCTATCGTCGTCGCAATAGTGGTCAAGTATATACTGTGAGAGGACAGGAAGTTGATAACAGGGATATGGTAACATACAATGCATATCTTTCTAAACGATTCAACTGTCATATAAATGTAGAAGTTTGTGCTGTAGTGAGATGTGTTAAGTATATACATAAGTATATTTACAAGGGTTATGATCACATAACAATGGTTTTGGGATTGATTAATCCAACAATATCTTGATGCGAGGTATATTGGACCACCAGAAGCTGCTTGGCGAATATTCGGTCATCATTTGCATGCAGAGATGCCAATAGTTGTTCGATTGGCACTTCATCTACCTGGAATACATCGTGTTCTTTTCAATCCTAATGACTCATTAGAAATGATTCTTTCTAGAGCTGCGCAACAAAAATCGACTCATACTGGTTTTTTTGATTATTGTGCTTCCAATGAAAATGAATGCCAATTCACTTACCAAGAATTTCCGCAACATTTTGTTTGGCTCAAGTCAGAACATAGATGGAAACCAAGAGAACATGGATATGCAATTTGTAACGCCCTCAAAATAATAACATTAAACCCATCAGATAAGACAAGCATTTACATATAAACTAACCACATTCCTTTATTTCATTGAGTTTCATTACATAAGTATTACATGTTAACATCAAAACAAAATGCCCTACGGGCTTACAGCTTGCCAAGTTAACACTTGGTTTCAACAAAAGAGTACTAACTCGTTTACACATTAAGCCCTTGGCTTGAAGTTACATGTAATACATCAAAAGTAAAACAACTACACTATGTCCGCCGCTAGCCTCCCAAGCTATGTCCTTGGAGGTGGCATGCTTCCTGCACCTGAAAATGATATTCCCATATAGGGTGAGCCACAGCCCAGTAGAAATACACTAAACCAAATATGAACAAAAATGATGATAGAGCTAGCATGCTTATCTGTTGAAAAAGGGAAAATAAAAAGTAATTGGGACTTGTAAGTCGTTGACATAAATATGTAATTTATGTGATTGTATCAGTGTTGACCAACTATCAATTGCTAATGTTTTAGTCATTGCCATGGTTGGTTTACTGTATTTCTACTGGGCTGTGGCCCACCC